ACCAGGAACGTGTTGGATATGCATTAATGTGGTTCCGTATTCGTTTCAAGATTAAAACTAGGCGGCTCATATCTTTGTCGTAAAACGGAACAATTTTCCCCTGAGCTGCATAATTCTCCTATCTTACTAATTTTATAAATCCGAATGCTTATAAAGATATCTGAATGTCTTACTGAAGTCTGCTTAAATGGATTTAAATGACATTTAGTATACAGATGGACCACAATTATGGACACATACCTAAATACTTAAATCCCAATACTCATATTTAACGCAAGTAAAGTTGCGAGAGAAAAATTTTATTGTAATTGTGAAAGTTTGTAACAATATTAAATGTTTGTAACATTTATTATTGTTACACAAACATTTACAAAGAGATTGATGGCATTTGGTGAAAATTAGATTGAAAAATGTGATTGCAAAAGATATTTGGATGTTTGTTATTTAAACATACTTTTATGGCTAAGCGAATATTAATAAAATTTGCCACATAGGGATTTGTTATAATCATACACTTGATAATGTTAATATGAGAGCAATAATAATCAATCGATCATTAAAAAAAAATCTAAAATTTTGTGTGTTTCACTTTCATCTATTTGTTCTTCAGAAGCCTTTTTCATAAACATTACATTGTCACGTCTCCAGCCAAATGTAGTCTGTTTAAAAATAACTTCCTATTTTGACATTTGAACTATAACCACATATGAATTAAGAAATTAAAAACTTTAGTGCATATAATAAATTTAAATAGCTTAGAATAAAGTTGAGCGCACAACTGTGGGATATATTCCGACGGTTAATGTAAAAAATGAAACAAAAGAGGAGACCTCAAGTGCCAGGTTATTGATCCGAGCTAAATCCATTCAGAATTAACGTAACTCAAAATAGCTTTACTGCCAACGTGAATGCATTTACTTATAGCAAAAGATTCGGCGATATTTATTTAAAAAGAAAAAAAACTATCTGGATAAAATAATATTCTAAACTGGCACGTGGGCATTCTGGGCATTATATCTTCCGATAGATGGAAAAGTTTGTTACTAACGTCATGTTTTATTAAAGTATTTAATTAAAACCCGGCTTTTTCGCGTAAATTAGGATATAAAGTACTTTTAGCGGTACTAAAGGTACTTTCTACATGTGTTAATTTAGGATAAGGCCTATTTAGATCCGTTCAGCCAAGTAACAAACATGTGAACTGAACATCTATACAAACATTCACATTTATTAGTACGATGAACATGGATAAAGAGTTGTCTGAGGAGAGTAAATAAAAGACGGATAGACTCTGTGAAAGATAATACGCGTATAAAAGTGAACACGGGTGTAGACAATGGAACACAAAAACAGTGTGCCAACCCCAAATAATGGGACGAATGCACGGCGTCGATGGTAATATTGTTCTCGTTAGCTAATTCACGCTGTTCGTGAGTATATCTATTGTTGTTTTCGTTTGAAAGGAAGGGTAAGTGGTGAGCTTGCTCATGTTATATCTCAAGACGCATAATAACTTAATCCACAGTAGTGGCACATTCACATGGCATTTATGATGTCAACGTGATGTTCATGTCTATAGGCTATGACGAGCATCAGACGAGTCGTTGGTTTGTATTTCATTGCTAGTATTGAATAGAAAAAAAAATTAAGTTTGATGTTCACGTCAATTCTAATAATTGCCACTACTAAAAGGATTGAATGGTGATATTATTATGATCACGGGCTATTACGACCTTCTGCGCTGCCTACCAAACAAACTAACGTAGCATGTGACTCACTGCGGTTTGCCTTTGGCAACAGATAATGTTAAAAACTCACTATGCATTATTTGTAAAGACTGTGAATGATTGTTGCTCAATTTTCCGGTTACTATTATTGTTGTCAGAGTAAAAAAAAAATGTCGTTACCGGCACGATTACCTTATGCACAATTGATATTTTAAGTATTTTTTTTTTTATTATTTAAAAAAATGTGTTATAATTAGTATGCAAGCAAGTTGTTGGTGGTAGAAATATGTACTCGTATATAACAATCATTGCAAACGACTTTGTACCTACGAAGTTTTATTCTGATGACTCTAACATATCCATGTACTGAGAAAGGCAAAACCTGTCTTTTTTTGTTAAACTTAACTCGACAACCAAGTTAGATAATCCTATATAATCGGAAGGCAACGAGTTGATAGCGGGGTTTATTGTGATTGTCTTCGTAAAGATGTGAATTTATTCTAACATTATACGTTTAATATATAGATTTGCTTGTGAGGTAGACTTGAAAATCGAGATACGTGTTTACGAAGCTACGAAAATTGTGGTTATGTTATGTTGGCGCATGACTCACTGTGAAAGTGATTCTTGGTGAAGATTTGTATTGCACTATAATTACTATATTGTTCAAGTAATGACAAATATCATTATAGTGAAATTTTGAAACGATTTAACACTTCCATAATAATAAGTAACCGGTGCTTTTTCGTTTATTACCATGTAAAATATTAATTTAATTTTAAAATAGGATTTTATTTTAAAATAAAATCCTAAAATGCAGATCTCTTCTGCACTTCTGCGTTACTTCCATTCTCCGTAAAAATGTTGAGTTATTTTATGACGACGAGGGTTGGAAAAAAAGCAATTTGAGTTCCTTAGAATTTTGTCCCTATACAATTTTTATAGAATATTTTATTGCTATTTTATAAATATTACTATAACCGAAAATTTCCAGTAGAAAATCATCGAAATATGGATTTTGGAAAAATCTTAACATGTTTCAGGTAATTGAACAGTAATTTATCTCGCCTCATGTCGTGTTGATCGTAACTGAAAATCGGGATTCCCCTAGAATCTTCTTATCTCTGTATTCTTTCATTTGTATTATTTTTTCCCTTGCGGATGGTGTCATGATATTTATTATCTAGCCTATCTAAAGAGTGCAAATTTGGTCAGATTTATAGAATTACATGTTTATTTTTGTTTCGATTTTCTCTTTCAGTCACCATGACATATTTTTTTAATGGATGATTATGGAATGGTAACCTCGCCTGTCTAACCCCCCTTCCCCCCACACACCATCATACGTTCATATTAGACGTTATGAACATCAATGATTTCTTTAAACCTTACATAATGTACAAAGTTATATCAACGGAACATAGGTTCCCTTTAGAAGTAGGTAGCGCCCAAAAAGAGATCGATGTGTGCAAGATGACATAGCCAGAAAGACAAGAAGAAAACATATTACGCCGACCCCAAATAGATATGGGAAAAGAGCAAGAAGAAAAGTAGGTAGATGGACCTATATCATATTCATGTTTCAACCGTAAAGCAGTTTGTAAAGTGTTTGCATGGCTGTGTTTCGGTTTGAAGGGTGGGATATGGCGTGAATTTAACGTGTACAGAGGAATAACTCTTGAGTCCTCAGGAATGGCAACGTATGCGGGGTATCATGGCCGAAACAGTATACTCTGTTATGTCCATAGTACTGCTCGTTTATAAGCGACGGTTACCACTTTCCATCAGGTGGGCCGTAAGCTTGTTTGCCATTCTAAGTAGTATAAAAAAAAACAAGTTTAAGATGTCTCTCGTACATGTGCATTTGCAATGTTCATAGATAATCCTTTGTCTTGCTAGTTAACCATCACTACTTTTTTTAAAACCTGGCAAATACCACAAAGTCTAATAACCTGTGCAATGTGCACATATATACATGCATAATCCTTCGTCCGCATTCTTTCTACGCGGATCCGGTTAATAGATTTGTATTGTAGACAAAACTTTTACTTAGGTAATTTGTTTTATATAGTTCTTGTAAATCTTTTATTTCCCGGGATTTCCAAAATCACGATTTAAGATAGGTATTAATTTTATATTGCTATGTCAAGCTTTGCCCACGCGTATCAGTATTCAGAATATGTCGTGCGGTTTTCGCGTGAACAGTCGGACAAACAAAAAATCTCGGCAGTATATTATATTTATAGATCTCTGGGATGTGACAGTACGACAGTAGGTATGTCCTAGCGATTAACTGCCACATGTTAAAAAAAAAATAATTCGCCTTTTAAGATTTACATCACTATGACCTAAATAGATTGAATTATACAAATATAACTAGGTATGTACATATAATATGATAGTAACGTGCCATACGTACGGGTTACATTATTATCTTTGTCGTTTTAACGCGCGATGTCGATTACTCATCGCATCAGTTTCAATGTTTTTGTTTCTTGAATAACTGGTTTAGAACAAATTTTAATAGGTATATTCAAGTTCTACCATTCTAATGTTGGAGCTACAATTGTTGTACTTAGTTTTCGGGTTTTATTAGTTGGGTTTATTGAAATTGTAGATACATAGTGTATACCGTAAGTACACCTTATTTTTTTTTTACCGTAATAAAGAAATAAGATATATAAAAAGAATCTTTGGTACTCCTGTTTGGATACAGAACTTTCGCTTATTTTGTCAAAGGGAGTAAAGAGATTATTGATAATGCTATTCATTCCTCAGTGCTAGCAATACACTTTGTCAGATTGATCTCCACGCGGCATATCCTGGAAAGCATGATAATTAATTTTTAGTGAATTCACCACGATGGGCCAACTGAATACATCCTCATCTCTCCACTCAGTTAACATTCCATTTTCATCCATTAAATAAAAAAACACCACAGTCAAATGATTAAATTCTTGTATAAGTACAATCGCCTTAATATTTTGTTCAAACACCGTTATATTATAGATAATATATTTATATTTAATTATAGGCGATCGATTACTTTTCATTAATTTTCATTCACCTGGTGGAAAGTGGTAACTGTAAACGTCAGCTTGTTTGCAAGTCTTTGTTATAAAAAATGTCAATTTTCTTATCCTTTCGCTCTTCTCAGGAGACTCATATTCTAAACCGATCGGTAAATCAATGAATTGATTTGTCTTCGGTGTAGGGGACGTGGTATTTATCTAGTGAGTTAGTGTGTATAGATAGTTTATTTGAATGTTACAGGCAGTGGCGGAGCGCGGCATGAGTGATCAGTGGTAGCGGGTGGCGGTGATGCAGCGAGCTCACGCGGGCGGCGCCCCGCAACCGCAGCCCCCAGCCCCCGCCACAGCCGCCCCCGCCCCCGCCGCGCCACCACCCTCTCACACTCACTATCGTTCACACACACTGTACGCTGATATTGACGATCAGGTAACGTCATACTTATTTGAACTTCACACATATGCTCCAAATTAATGGAGGAAATTAAACATTTGCATATTTATTTATTGACACCATCGTTTAACTCATTTCACAAATATTTCTATTGTTATTTAGATACCAGCGTCGGTGATAAGTAGCGTCGGCAGCACTGTGAGCCTTTCGCAATCCACCACAAATCCAACCCCTAATATAACGATGGCGAACCCCACGAATCCAGGCCACGGTAGCAGCGGGAATGCGCCGCAGCCAGTCAGTCAACAAACACCTACTCAGGCGCCGGTGCGCAACTTGCCCAAGAAACGGAAGTTTGATCCTTCCGAACTAGAGGAGATTGAGCGAAATTGCATGAACAACATTGCAGTGACCGCTCCGCTGCCTGTGGAATACCAACAGCAGAATACACAACCTATATTGCAGCCATCTCCTATAGTTCAACAACCTTCACCGCCTACAGAAGTCAAACAGTTTTCAATCCATTATCCGAATATAGACCTTTCTGAGTGGCGGGACCATAGGGTGTTGGCGAAGCAGCGCGGGCTGTATATACCGGGCGTCATTCGACAAGCGGAAGGATGCAAGGTGACCGTGGAGTTTGATGGGCAAGAGAACGAACCCGTCGAGTACAGTGATATATTCGGGAAGAACAAATACGATGTGATTAGTGATGCGAGCCCTCAAGTGATACACTTGTTAGTTGGCTCCGCGTGTGTGGTGAGGACTATGGACTCGAGTCGGGAAAGTGTGCAAAATGTATTTGTTGAAGGACTAGTTTTTGAAGTGCTTAGTTCACCTATCAGGATAAGAGTCAAGGTGAGAAAGTTTCAATACTATTTACTTAATTTGTAAGATTTTTTAAATAATGTTATTATGTTTGTAACAAAGCTCTTGCGATACTGTAAGGGTCTTTTTATAATGGATCAAAATGGCATGGTAACCCCGCCTGCGCTATCGGTATACATTGGCGGGGTACCAGTGAGAGATGATAAGTGACAATGAAAAGGCAGGTTAGTTAGTCTATCGTGACTAATTCAACGATAAATTAGTTACGATAGTTTTCAGGGGGATTCAAGTGGAGGTCGACCTGATAGGGGTATATTGATAGCAATGGGGACTAACCTGCCCATTACTAACAATCCCTTCCTTCTTACTTTAAGGGTCTTAGGTAATTTGCATAATTAGGAGGACATCTAATTACTTTTATTTTCTTCTGATAATGCTATCTTTTACTCTCCATAAGATGAGCTAACAGAATGTTTAGCATATATTGTTAGTCCTCTGGTATCCATTGTTTATAGATATGCTTAACACATACTGATCATTTTGTTGTGTCATGAAATGCAGTGGCTACCATTGTTTAGACCTAAGCACAATAACTCATTGCTGCTATCTGGTAGAAATAGATTAAATTGTGGTACCTAAACTATCTATCTGTACATGTCCAGACTATAGGTCTAAACGACTTACAAAACATTTCTATCTCTTTTGAAATTTATACCTGTTTGATCTACTATGGTTTACTACATAGCATGGTCAGTCAATAATGGAAATTTACAAAAAAAAAAAAGACTATATTAAAATAAAATATACAATAAGTATTGTACTATAAAAAATATTAACACATAATAAGTTAAAAGTTCAATGTATAGTATCCTTATATTTCCATTGAATATTATAAAGAAGTAAGCACCACATAAATAATTATTTTCTGTAATGAACAATGAACTAAATAAATATTGATATGTTATATGAATAAATTTGTTATTATTAAATTTATCCGCTAATAGTATTTCTGACAAATGACATAATACATACTTTATTACTGTTACTATATCCGTTAGAAGCCTTTTACATTACGTACGTAAGTTTCCATAATAATTGTGCAATAGTTAAGTTCGAATTTTACGATTATGTGTATAGCTATTTCGTATTAATCTTAAATTACTATTTTCTACTTTACTTTTTATTAGTAAGTGTAAATAAGTATTCGAAATTTATATTGTTTATGAATACTTTATAAATTCACAAAACGTTATAAGTTTATTAAAATGTAATATAATCTTATATTTGCACGTAACACATGCCTTTCAGAATTAGGAAAACCAATGAAATAGACTATTTCCAGATGGCGTATCAAAATCAAACGTTTATCAGTTTCTCAAGTTAAACTTTCAGGTACATAACTGTGAAAACTGTATTCATTTTGATGAAGTAGTTTTTGCGTGATGCCTGCCTATACAGGTGGACTGACAGACAGATAGACAGACAGACAGAGACAATATTTTCAAAAAATATTGGTTTACTTTAGTGCTCCTATTAAAACTTCTATTATTTTTTTAAATATCTTTTATGTATCAGTTACAATTTTATTATATTAGTAAGATTATCATAATCAGATACATTGTACAATGTCAAGCAAGATTGTCTTATATTGTATTATTTATGCAAATGTGGATGTGTAAATCGTGTAGGGTCGTTTAAAATCTACTAAATTAGATTCTGATAACCCATAATAGTTTGTGATATAGGCATTCTTTATTTTATTTATGTTTATGAGATTTAAATGATTCATAACACTGTCGCCATATCGTATACTAACTACTAGTACCATGCCAGAGAAAGTACAATGATCGGCTGTTGGGGGAGGGTAAAGGGGGGGGGGGGGTCACCAGTCTGAGGTAATCTTTATTTGGGACTATTCCCAATAGCCCATTGATTTATATCAAGGAATGCCCTTTGAATGTAATTGTCCAGTATAAATAAAAAAATCGTTGTCATCACATTAAATAGAAAGTTTCGCTGTATATATTATCGTAGGTTGTAATATATGTCTACCGTAAGTTTGCTCATACACATTGTATTCTAGTATTTTGATTATTATATTGTAGAACTGTAAACTTGAATAATTCCCGCATCGAAATTACGAGTACTTACAAATAAATTTATTAATCATAAATGCTTACTTAGTAGTACTACAAAGTAGTAACAAAATTATTTGCGAGCATTACAGAAACGGCCTTTTTGTACGACTTGAAAGTCTTATTTGAAATTTAAGTTGAAAAAGTATTATATTATAGATGATATTTTCGAAAAGGTTTGGTACAAAAGGGGATTTGTTAACAATAAATAGTGTTGGACTGTTTGTAACATCGCGGTATTAGTTAAGTAGTTTTAAAATCAGTAGACATACTTGCGTCGTCTATGTGGCAGTTTCCATAAAATCGTTGTATTGATTTATATTATTATTATGTGTTAATTCTAGTAGTTTAATTATGAAATGTACGACACATTGCTGACATATATAGACATCCCCCTTATTTATAAAAATATCAAACTTATTATAAATCTATTTTAGCTATTAAACTCTTCTGTCTCTTTCCTTTAAAATAAATTCCCAATTTGAAAGAAAGTGACAAAACATTGTAATAGAATCGTAGAAGGTTTTAGTTTTTATGAATAATCCCTTATTAAGTGTGCATTTGCATAATTTACAATAAAAAAAAAATCACGTTGTAGGTATGAAGCATCAGATATAAGTAGATAATGTAATCTAAAATTTTCGTAATCCTATGTGACGTTTTTATTAGTATCTACATGAAAATTTACAATTTCATTTACTTTTACTAAATGTTTTATGTACTTTAGTAAATAAATATCAGTTGATATTTTTCTATTTACTAATTATAATTATAAACTACAAAAAATAGTGTTCGTTTTTGATGAATGAATGAATTTCTAAAACATTGGTGATAAGAGTTATTTATTAGTATTAAATATCTTTTCGCACCAACCCGTTTTAATGATAGGTACCAAAAATGACTTTGTTTTTGGTCGGCATCGAAATTTATCTGTAGTCCAACTAAAAACTTTTTTTATGCTTTATAACGTTTCAGTATTCTAACCGTGTTGGTTTTATAATCTTTTGATTCTTATGAGAAATAGAATCGAATGACATGAAAAAGATTTTGTATAAATTAACAATTTAGTAAGTCTCCTTGCTGACTGTACATTTTCCTAAATTCTGCCAATGCAGGTTAAATTACATCACAGAGGAGAACTTTTACCGATATTTTTATAATTCTTAATTACATTTTACTATAGTTACAATAGTTATGGAATCTGCTTTTATTGTCGTGCCTCAAATATTCACCGTATGTATTTTTGTAATGTAAGAATATGAAATAGTATCCCGTCTACACTATTAGTTTATACTTGCAGGGTATCAGTAAGGAATGATAGGTGAGGATGAAGTCCGGTTAGTTGGCCATCGTAACGAATTCACTTGGTTACCCACAATGATTTCCTGGAAGACCGCATGGAGGTTGGTATGATGGCTAAACAGGACTTAGATATCCCATAGCCAGCAATATAGAAGGTATAGCTTGCCTGACCTGCTTTTCTCATTTATTATGTTTTACTGGTGCCCCATCAGCGTATACCGTTAGCACAGACGGGGTTAACACTCCATTATTATCTATTAAATGGAAAAACAATATTATGTAATTTGTTTGTATTTGATGGCAACTGTCTACAATAAAACGTACATGTGTTAATAAGCAGGTGACAGACGGTGAGATATGCAACGAGATGGTGGAGGTGAAACGAGCGGACATCAGGCTGCTGCAGCCGCCGTGGGCCGACGAGCTGGAGGATGCCGGCTCACATCCGGTCACGATGGCCGGTCACAACCTGAACGTGCAACACGTGCACGTGCCGTCTGTGGTGAGTGATGTCATCCCCCACTAACTATTAGGGTTCCCAACTTTTACTTTTTTAATATAGTTTCTTTTTGTGGATAAAGTTTAATTTTATTTTTTTTATTGTTATTGAAGAGTCACGCGATTGATCACGATCTCACCTTGAAGGAAAGCGATGATGTGGTTTAAATAACATTATCGGTTATATTATTTTTGTAAAAATGAACATATGTTTTAAAATACTAGTAATTACATACTTGCAATTTCGTCTGCGTGACGCGTGTATAATGAAATTATAAAGAGATATTGATATTATTAGAAAAACATCTGTATTCTTTCACAGTTATAATAAATACTTGGTTTCACCGTTCAAGGCATTTGCGAAAGTTTGTTTTCTTCGCACAATCAAATATGTAAGGCTTTCATTTAGCCAGTTCTATTTGTGTTTTAATTGTAAAAAAAAATTGAATAAATAATACTTTTTCTCTAGAAATTGTCAGACGGTGCCTTTTTATCTTTATCATTTGTTTAGGAACTGATATCGATTTAAGATCGATATTTATGATGCGAGGTGAATAATTATAGCACACATTCAAAGTCCGTCACTACGTACGTTGACAAAAAAGTAATCATGTGATTTCACAAATGCGAACAAATAAAATGCTAATAATAATATCTAAGGTATAGTGCCGTAGGTAGAGCTCGCGTATCTTTTAGTAACCTATTTCTAGCATCCCATTCTAGCTCAGATTTACACTGGTAAAGTGAATAAGTACAGCAGACAAATATTATAATGTTGTTTACATTGATCAAATAATTGGAAGTCAATTTGGTTGAGAAGGAGATTTTGCAATGAATATTTAAATCGTTATGGATACCCCGTGCTCACTTGCTCTATAACAACTGTGAAAATCAGTTAAAATAAGTATGAAATTCTATTAAACTATGAAGAGTAGAAAAACGAACATTCAGAAAGAAAAATATTAAATATAAAAAAAGGTCTATCGCTAACAACAATTAAGACCACCTCTACATATCATATCAATAATTTCACATCAGAAATATAATAAAGAAAGCACAGCTGTTTCGCTGCAGAATAAATCGATGAGAGAAATACTAATGCAGACTGTACGAAGCCTCCCTCTAATGGATAGTCGCGTAGTTATAGTTTATGCATTGCAACTCTAAGTTTATAAGTCGTCAATTATACATATCTATTGGAATTTTAACACATAACAATAAATACAAATACAAATATCTTTATTGTGGGTCATAGGGTCAGATTAAGGTACTATGCCAATTAAATAGTATCTCCATTTTCCCCTATATAAGCGTATAATATATTATATGAAACAATTATAAATTAACTACATGCATTATTTAACAATAGATAGAACAAAACATTTAAAATTATATAGTGAAACAAAACAAATTAAAATGAGACAATATATTCGACTAATGATGATTATAATAATATATATTTTTATATAATATAATATTATATAAAAATAATAAATCAACATGTCCTTGTCCACAGCCATTTCAAATAGGCGACGGTCCATTCTACACATCGTCACCGATGCCCGGTACCGGGCAGGTGGTCACCGTCGGCGCTTCCTCCAACGGTTCCATGGATTACGGCGAGAGTGACGATGACCTTCGGCGGGAGGACATTATGTTCCCCAATGACTCGCAGATGGGTAAGTGGTTCGTTACCTTTTATTTATTTATTTATTCTTTATTGACCACATTATAAAAAATATCTGGTATAATAGGCGGACATTTTTTTAGGATGGCATTTATAAAAAAAAAAAATGTTTTGACAAAATTAGTATGAGACTAAGATGGGAGAATATATTTTCAATAAAAAAAAAAAATTATTATACTTCGACGCAGATGACAAATCCTCTCATTTATGGGGGTGGCCTATGGTCAGTACTGGTCAGTTAACGGCTAATATGATATGATAGGCAAAGATATCGCGTGACATACACATACGCGCAAAAAATAATAATTGTAGCGAAGTCTTCATTGTTTATTGAAAACAAAAATAGTTTTTTTTTTTATTTTGTTGGTTACTAAATATCACTCATATTTATCAGGGTCTTTACTAAATTTCTGTTTATTTAACTAATTACTAAACCAGATTAGTGAGTGAAGTAGTAATAAATTTATAGGTACAAAGTTTATGTATTTGCAAATAAATTAAAAATACCGTTTGACAGATTGCAGTAATAGCAAACGTAGCAGCTTGCAAAGCCGTGGCAGCACATCCAGTCTCATCGAGCGCAGTCTCACACCAAGATCTCAACCCCCTACTCCCAGGTGAGTTTTACTATGTCGTAAAATGCTAGTACAGCATTTCTATGACTTGTATAAAGTGTGTTGGTATTGTTTTGACGAGTATAAGAAAATAATAAAGTTACAAGATGAGTAATAATTTTATTCAATATTTAAAGTGATATAATTTTTATATTTTTTAAATTAAATGTAATGGTCCATCATATGGCAAGCGGTAATTGCCGCGTCGCTATGTATGAAAAACATCATGGATGAGATATAATCCTATACCTATAAAAATATCCTATATCGCCTTTCGCTCTTGATAATTCTCATGAATTTATGAAGGATAGAATGCTATGATATCGTTTGTGTCTACAGTCTACCTGCCTCTTCGTCTGTATGACCAAATGTTTATTGCATCTATGTGTATACCAAATTTCATTAACAATTTGTTAATCCTTTGAGGCATTAAGAGGCAATAAACAATCAAATTCAACAACCATTTTTACATTTATTATATTAAATAAGGAATCTTGATATAAAAAATCTTATATAATTGATTTAAAAAAATATATTGTACTGTTGTATTGTAGTGTTTGCTTCAAATGAACATAGAATAATTTGTGTGCCAATAAGTGACTAAAAGTGGGACAAACCGTTTACTGGGTCAGCTGGTATAACTGTAAAAAGATTGTGTTCCACAAAAATAAAACCGATTTTAGTCCTGACAAAACCATTTTGATTTAAAAATTAAATTATTAAACTAATTTTGATAAAATTTCTATGAGACCTATCTTTAATTATATCTTAGCAAATAAAAAAAGAATCTTTAAAATCGATTTATAACTGACTGAGTTATAAGTTATAATACGGATTGAGAATTTCCTTCTTTTTAAAGTCGATTGAAAAGTAATAATGCATATTGTGGGTGTCGTAAGACGCGACTGAGGGAGGGCAAGGAATGGGCAGCAGTGTCCCTCTCAAAACATCTCTAAAGCCAGCGGGTGCCAATTCGCCTGCCAAGCATGGTAACTACTGGCAAAACCCCCTAAGGGGAAGGCTTATGTTCAGCAGTAGATCATTAAGGGCTGATACAATGATGATGATGATGATGAATGCATATTTTATGTCGTTGATAGATCTCAAGCGGCGACCCCGCATAAGTATAAGAAGGGCGACGTGGTCTCTACGCCAACGGGCATCCGTAAGAAGTTCAACGGCAAGCAATGGCGGCGCCTGTGTTCCAAGGACGGCTGCACGAAGGAGAGTCAGCGGCGGGGTTTCTGTTCCCGGCACTTGTCGCTGCGTGGAGTGCCCCGCTCCTCCAACACTCCGCTCGCCCAGGGCTCCACGCATACCTCGCACCAGAGGTATTTCTTTATTCGATCTCATATTTCTCCTTTTATGATTGGAAATTCTTTATTTAAATCATATTTTTTATATCCTGCTCCTATCATCATCTTGCACTAGAGCTAATTCTTTATTTAAATTTCATTTTTCAAATCTTGGTCGTATTGTACGATATATGGAGATGTCGTTGACCTCGTCCTGTCATCTCGTCGTACGAATAGTATGGCTTGACAGCAGAATATTCTGCATAATATTACTTTTTTTTTATCTAGGTTATTTAACCAAGTCTTAAATTTCCAAATCCAAATTATGCAACTATAGTAACGCTTGTAAGCATTTAATTTTAAATTTTTACAGTTACACAGCAAAATTTCACTTTTAAGTCAGCCATACTAACACGGCGCATCTGAATGTTTAGTTACTATTGGTAGCTCAGTATTTTTGTCTTTATTGAGTTTTAGATTTAAAATTTTATATTCTAATATGTTTTATAGAATGGGGAGATTTTTAGTTTTGATTACAGCCAACAACTTTGATATATTACATGTATTATTGATAGAGATGTACTCGTATGCACGGTATAGTTGCAGCGGCAATTGTTCCAGAAGCAGCAGCAAGTCGCTGTCGTCGAGCGGCACGGGCGTGGAGGGCGACGAGACATCGCGCGAGTCGGACACCACGCCGCCTCACTACCGGGTCACGGGCCGCTTCGACCCCGACGAGACAGAGGCTGCCAATATGCTCGGTGCGTGTGTTGAATATTAGTCGCATCGCATCTTAGTGTCAGGCTTATTGGTATTATATTACACATATACATAAAGTTATAGGTAAGGAAAAGGTAAAGGAAATATATGTTTATTGTTGACAAATTTTACTCATGCTTATTGTTAAAATTAGTTTAAAAAATATTAAACGCATAGCGTCAAAGTGACCACCGTTTATTTAGTTATTTACTATACGAGGTTTGTCCGGAAAGTACGTATAAAAGTTTTTTAAAAATTTTATTTTACAATTATTCAGGTAAATCAATTTTATCCCCTTCAAAGTACTCCCCCTGTGACATAATGCACTTGTGCCAACGCCGTTTCCACTGTGAGAAGGCTCCTTGAAAGTCCTCTGGTTGTAGGTTTCTCAGCTGCCCCGTCGTAGCTTTTTTTATCTCATTTATGTCCCCCAAATGCCGCCCCCGAAGTACCAATTTGGTTTTTGGGAACAAGAAGAAGTCACACGGGGCCAAATCCGGCGAATAGGGGGGGTGTTCGGTCACCGTAATGGAATTTTTACTCAAAAACTCACGGACAACAAGAGAGGTGTGGGCAGGGGCATTGTCGTGGTGAAGAATCCAACGCCCCTCTCGCGCCAATTCTGGACGAACTCGTGCCACACGAGCTTTGAGGCGTCTGAGCACATCGACGTAGAATTTTCCATCAACTATCTGGCCTGGAGGGACGAATTCTTGATGGACAATCCCCCGAACATCGAAAAAAACAATCAACATTGTCTCGGCCCTCTCTGAATCTTTTTAGCCACTTGTGGACGGTTGGTTCCTTCACAGCATCATCCCCATAAACTGTTCTGAGATCGGCAAAAATTTCACGGCCATTCTTGCCGAGTTTCGAGAGAAACTTGATTACGACGCGCTGCTCTTCAACGGAAGCGGGCTCCATGCCGACGGGGTTTCGTTAAGAGGTAACTTCACAGATGGCGTGACAAGCCAGTTCGCACGGCACGGAGGTCAGACCAGAAGTGAATCATTGTTAGGGACATAAGGAAGGGGTCCTGCGCTTACCTGGCCTCCCCACTCCTATTCCAGAACACTTTTATACGAACTTTCCGGACAGACCTCGTATAGTAATAAAATCTATACAGTATATCTTCTTCATCCTAAATAGTATATGTATGTCAAATTTCGTAACGATTCGACAAGTCTTTGAATATCCAAAAGATAGAAAATAATTATATGAATTATTATAATGCTAGTGAGAATTTCATTGTCAATAAATATACAATTAAAACATTATAAATATTTTAGTGGCAATTAAACTTATCAGGGTTACATATAGCGCTTCACTATTTGTCCTCAATGTACTCAGTGTACTCAATTGTACTAGACATTGCTTTCATATTTACATTACTATAGATAGTGAAATATCTAGTGATTGTTTAGTTACTAAAACGCCAAACAGTCGTGCAAGGTGTGGTCGTGCTAAAGCTGTGTGTGTGGTGTGCAGTGTCGCTGGGCAGCTCGCGGTCGGGAAGCCCGGGCGCGTCGCCGGTGGGCGGCGGGTCGCCCGGGCTGCGCAACAACGTGTTCGTGCCCATCTCGAGCCCGCAGCCGCAGCCGCAGCCGCAGCCGCCGCACCCGCTGGCGCACCCGCACCCGCACCCGCACCCGCACGCGCACGCGCCCGCGCACCACGCGCACCACGCGCACCACGCGCCGCACGCGCACGCGCACCACGCGCACGCCGCCCACGCCGCCACGCTCAACCACCACCATCTCATCAGGTAACATTTATTTCAATCTGGCAACTATACCATTGTATATATTTAATATACAAATAGATATTAATGAAATATAATTACAATGCATTTTATAGTAGTATAAAAATATTTTAAATACATATTTATAGTTGAAAGTGTCTACCTTCAAGTCAGATTCTTTATAGAGTGGGCAAAGAGAATTATGAATCAAGAAGCTAGATGTTTGAAGTGTCTCATGTATATGCGTAAGTTCAGACGGCAAAGGTTTAATTTAAAGAATACTAAATAGAAACCAGTTTTATGGACACAATATGTTTCGAAGTATGTTTCAACATTTGTTTATTTAACTGACATGATTTATAGTTTGTGACAGAAATATAGCTGACTCCCATATAATCTTGTATATACATACTTTTTACTTCCAGGCCAGAATTAGTACGACCAAGTAGAGTGAGTTCCCCAGTTAGTGGTGTAGCCACTAGCGTCATCAGGGTCTCACCGGCCCCTTATTATCAGGTATTTAAACTACACAAAAACCCAAAACGCATAATTATTACATATAACAATAACAACAATAAAATATTCTTTCAGACTGAAAATCGCAATGGATCTTCAACACTCCACAACAACACCCAGTCTAATGTAATCGGCGTTCAAAGTTCAGGTTTGAATATTCAGAGCACCGCACAATCCGGTCTCAGTGTACCCTATTCAACTACGTTACAGTCTTTGCCGTCGAGTATATCCCTCAATTTAAATACTATAAATACAAGCTTACAAACGAGTGTTGCGAATACGATACGCAGCACAAGTAATGAAATCCCCCATAATTTAATCATCCAGAGAGGCATTCCTTCGTCAAACGGGATAGATGTAGAGCAGATATATCGCCAGCAACCGCTACACATCCGTAATGGGATCCACGAATACCGACGCGAGGAAGTATCGCCCCCATTGAATAACCATGAGAATTTTTTAAATAGAAGAGTCTCGGAGTACGATGAGGATTCGATTCCTCAGCGAGAGAACACCATACATCGCATCGTTATAGAACAGCGGCCGCCGGAGTTATCCGAGACTCGAGTGATGGAAGACAACAAGATAATAAAGCCGGCGCCGCTCCAGGCACGCGTCCTATCGCTTGTGGATCCGGACGCGAAGGACCAGAGAAAAATTTATGTAATACCCCAGAATATTGAAAAGAAATTTGTGCTGATAAAAAACGAACCAGCGGACACTATTCAGGTGAGATATTGATTTATTACTTTTTCATTTAATAATATGATGACATTTCTATGAAAATTGAATTAAAAAAAAAAACTGTTTTTCACTGAGTCCGAAAAATTTTAAGACTATATGCTTCATTCCCGTCTTTGTTATGTAAAAAATATGTAACTACGTATTTTTAATTGTAGTAATAGAAAAGAGAAATGCATTATATTATTACTGTGATATAAATTACAATAAATAATACACTCCCAGCGTAAACTGCAACAGTATCTATGACGTTCTTGTATTAGAATTAATCTATAACAAATACAATTTCAGATAGAGCAGAAGATGAGTCAAATAGCTCAACAAATAAACAACAATGAATCAGAACCGGAACACAGGGTGCTAGACAATGGAGATCACGTGAGTGTGACGATATTTTTAAGCAACGAGTGTATTCCGTGCATTGTAGCATACTGTGGGTGACAGCTAGTTGTTTGGTTTTCTGTAAAATGCCAGTATAGAATGAGATATTCGAAGTTGATAATGAACTGATACTTCTTCTTAATCAAATTGTTTTGTCGAATATGTTAAATCTTGTGTATAAATTACATATTAGTAACCTCGCATATAATTGTTTACTTCGTAATTGGTATGATGTATTTATATTAGTTAGATATTCTGGTATAATTTGAATTGTATCATTGACTTTCAAAAGTAAAATTGGTATACTCCTTTTTCGTATCAAGATTTCAGTGTTTTGTCTCGTATTCTACAGAATATAACTTTTATTATTATATTTAAATAACCCTTAGACAAAAAATAAGTATTTATTGGTCTAATAACAATCCTTGATGCAAGAAAAGGTTGGGGGCGTTAAATGTTCCTCAGTGTGTCTGTGTCTATACACATAAACATTGTTACAGAGTTAATTCCATATTTAGCTTCGTACGAATGTTTAAAACTTTTGTAATTCAGTAACTTTCTTTGTTTTGCAGATAAACAATGTGAACAGTAGCGCTGTTATAGTGCATCCCAGTCAGTTACTACCTGTATTGCCGCCGCCCACTTCGCACACAGCTATTATTGGTAATCCTGTTTATTATTATGTATTTATTCGCCTTGTTTATTAAATTTTTTTGTAACCTTACAAAATTTAATATGGGATAGTCATTTATCATCAACATAATCAGTCAGCATCCCATGGCTAGGCACATGTCTTTCCCAAGAATGTTAGGAAATTATAGCCTGAATATTTATTGGATGTTTTACTGTACATACGATGTAGATAACATACGATATCTATATCATAGTGCATATCTTACAATATCGTTCATCATATAATTCAATGAGCTGATATATATGCCTTGATAATATCACATTTTATGCGCAAATACTGTTTTTGTACTAATAAGAATTACAAAGAACGTCTTATCTAAGGGAAAGTAGTTGTATATGAATTACAGTATGGTTATAATAGAACATTGTTGAAATTTCTGAACAATATGAGTAAACCTATTATGAAGCTTGATATTTGCTCTGTATATGTTAAAAAGTTTATCTGGTAAAAGCCAAAACTTGAAGTCCATTGAAACGTAAGTAATGTGGACATATCAATCGGACTCCACTTAGAGACAGTACCAACAAACAACAAAAGTCTAAATTAGTTTGTCGGACTTACGAGTTTCTGCTTCCTTAAGCGTTTAGCGACATGCGATAATAAATAACAGCTATAAATAAATGTCGAAAATCATTGATATAGTTACCTAACTACATATATCTGGTACAGAAACCTTTCCGTTCGTTGGCAACTATTGCACTCCTGAAAATTATGCAACATGTTTAAGCTATATAAATTCATCTTAATAGTTCTTATTTTGATTTCTCAAATCCTTTCAACAATATCGATCATTGTGTCCTATCTAAGAATCTTTTCCGCTATTAGGTCAGGTAAAAATAAGATCAATATCTGTTACAGTGTCAACAAGCGGTGTGGCAGGCAGCGTATTCCCGTGGCAGTCGCTGGTGCCGCTGTTAGGGGGTTCCCCGCCGGCAGCGCCGCCTTCGCCCCGCACGCCGCGTACGCCGCGCACGCCGCACACGCCGCATACGCCGCATACACCACACACTCCACATACACCACACACTCCGCACACGCCCCATATAAAGTCGGAGGACCAAATCAAGACTGAGAATACAGGTTAGTTTTTAATTAAACATTATTTCAGATGTATCCGGCTCGAAGGATTAAAGTGCCGGCTCGAAGGATTAAAGTGTTGGCTAGGGAAAATGTGAGAATATTAAATATTATTTAGGGCATATAAATTTGTTTAAAGTTCTGTGTTCCATATGATATAAAACACAGGCATTTGTTGTCGACATGTCGCTAATCTGGATCCAAAGGTTACTTGTCATCGCTAGGCTATATATCTGATTGTTATCTTTGTATAAAAAATGCTTGTTAATTTATTGCAGGTGACACAGCGCCACCTATCTGTGCGGAGGAGGACGACGATGTGTTCGAGAGCGAAGAGCCGAGCAGCGGCTGTGACGAGACGAAGCGTCGTTCTCATAGTCTCTCCTCGCTCAACTCCCCTGCTTCTGCGCATGAGAAGGTAAATATATAATGAAGTACAATGACCGTATTAGAGAAACACTTACTAGTGTCAGTTTATAGGCCACCTCGTTGTGTACGAAAATATGGAAAGTTAATCATATTTATAAAGTTTGTATTATACAATATATTTCATCAAAATCCAAAACACCACATCATTAATGTTTAATTTTTATTCTTGAAAGAAATTAAAGAATGAAAATTCTTTATTGTTTCTCTTAAATAAAGATAGGATGGAAAGGTTTTCTGGCAACCTTAAGATGGAGAAAAATAATTATACTTGCTTTAAACTTGTTTGTGATAGATCCGTACGGATAATAAAATTAAAAATAAGAGGAGCATTGTTGTACATTGATATTTAGTATTAGTGCTTTGTTTATTTTAATTTCAGAAGGAGCGACGCATACGGCGTCCGATGAACGCATTCATGATATTCTCGAAGCGTCACCGCCAGATAGTGCACCAGATGCACCCCAACCAGGACAACCGGACCGTCAGTAAAATCCTCGGCGAGTGGTGGTATTCCCTCAAGCCTGAGGAGAAGCAGAAGTACAATGAGCTCGCCAGCGAGGTGTGTGAGAAAAATTACATTCTTTGATTTTTGGAGGGTGCCCCAACATACGTCATAAAATAATGTCATATCGTGTATACGACCTCGATTGCGAAGAGTATCAAGTCCGAGACCTGGATACATGCCTGGTCATAATCTTCATACATTATGTTGGCTCAAAAATTCAAATGCTTTACGAATTTATGTTGAACACGCTCTATTTGCATTATCGTAAATATTGTGTTCCTTATAACACTACAATATTCAAGAACACTTCGCATATATGCAAAATAAAACATTTTTATGCATGACAAATCAGTGAAGGGTCATGACAAGTAACGTGATACGAGGAAGTAAGTTTAGTCCGATGCGATTAGATATAATAGGTAAAAAGTCTATCCAGGTCTTCTTGTAACTTAAGGTAATATTTATAAAAAAATAAAATAAATCATACTGCTAACATTCCTATATTCTATATATACATTCCAAAATTTACAACTGTTCTTTAGGTGAAGGAAGCTCACTTCAAAGCTCATCCTCAGTGGAAATGGTGCAACAAGGATCGTCGAAAATCATCCAGTAGTAGGGACCCAACTGGTTCCATGCCTCAGGTATGTGTTTTTTTTTGCAACTTAGAATGGTAAACAAACTGACAGCCCACCTAATGGAAAGTGGTAACCGTCGTCTATAGACATGAGCAGTAGCATGGACATAACAGAGTATACTGTTTCGCCCATGATACCCCCCATGCGTTGAGATTCCTGAGGACTTAGATTTTATTCCTCTGTACCCTGTAAATTCACGCCATATCCCACCCTTCAAAACGTGTGTTTCGGTTACCATGCAAACACAACTGCTTCACGGTAGAAACACGAATGGGACAGAGGTACCCAAGCAATCGACTTTTGTACAAAGTCTCCCTCTGGTAAAATAATTTTAAATCAAAATAACTGATATTGGCATAAATTTTTATTTAAAAACTATTTTTTTTATTGAACATAATTTAATTATATTTAATTACGTGTACACAGAGTCCACGTACGCCGTCGGAGGTGGCTGCCGGCGGCGGCGCGGCGCCGGGCGGCAGCGACGTTCCGGTGCCGGTGGCTGCCTACGCTCATGCCGGCTCGCCGCCGCTCAGTGACGACGATCAGCTCGTAAGTGTTTACTGGCTTATGCCTGCGATCACTTTATATCTGTACCAGCTTTCATATGCATGGATTTCGGAAGTAGGAATACGAATGAAATAGATCACTTTTAAATGGCGTATAAAGGTATAAGAAACACCAGGTTTTAAGTTGAAGCCTCAGAAACACAACCATGAAAACCGTACTCAGTATAATTGTCTGATACATAGAACAAACAGACAAACACAAAAATTCTGTGTTTCTTCTCTTGGTCTTATTAAGGTCAGGGATCAAGGTTTTTAGTTTTTTATTATTATGAAAATTATAAATATATATTAATCAGAAAATTAAAATTTTAACTAAATTTCGTTATTATTTATCGTAGATGCCCCAAACTCTATGCGACGAGCCAATTCCGCCACCTCAAAATGTGGAGATTGATCTGAAATGTGGCGAAAAAGTGACCGATTCGGACTCTGAGGGGCACGACGCTCGTGAATATTTGCCCCACCATGATCACACCAGAAGACCAAAGCCGATTAAAGCCAGGTATATATATTTACATGTCGCAATAGATTTATATCTATACAGAGTGCAATCAGTTACACTTTAGCAGCCTTTTTAACTAACTTCAAAAAAAGAGGAGATTCTCAATTTTTTTGAAATCTCAGAATTCGGTCATTTATGGATTTGGAAAATCCTTTTTTTTCTAAAAGGATATTTGAAAGAAAGGAAGAACGAAATATTCAAATAAGCTTAGATTTAAGCATTTTTGAATAATAATTTTTTTCATTATCACCGATTAGGAACACAATTTCAGCCAAGAAGAACTAGCAAGAAATTCAGCTGTCACGTTTTAAAAAAAAAAACATTATAAAAATAATAAATTTGTGTGGATATAAAATATTGAGCAGTATCAATCAGTCAATCAATCGGTTCAGCAGTTTAATTTTTAAATCAAATTGGTTTTACCATGATTGAACTCAGTGTTTTTTTTGTGTTGAACAAAATCTACTTGTCTATAATCTAAATTGTATATTTTTGTTCAAAGAAGTCATCAAATTAAGACGCGAAGTATTTAATTTATTGATTGTTTTAACCAATGTTTCTTAGAAAAAAATGTTCTTTCACTGGTAAAAGAGTTCTAGAAGGATGATAATAATATTGATTTTATTCAGTACATTTATATGTATTATCGCCATCGACAGGGAGTTCACCCTCATACCTTACAGCCTAAATGGTCGCGTACAACGCGGTTTCAGAGATGCTTTCTCCCACGAACACTCAGGTTATGGAATGAGCTCCCTGCCGAGGTTTTCCCGAGAGACTACAGCATGGGGTTCTTCAAAAGGGGGATAAAGAGGTTTCTTCAGGGTCGGCAACGCGCGCGTAATACCTCTGGTATTGCAGGCGTTCATAGGCTACGGTAACCGCTTACCATCAGGTGGGCCGTATGCTTGTTTGCCACCTCAGTGGTATAAAAAAAAATTTACTCCGTTATAGCTTTTAAATAGACTAAATATAATATCGTCATTGTTTATGTTATAATTTGGAGGCGGGATTTGAATAAATGAAATATGAAAAGCTTATCGTAGTTGAATTATATCGAGTCGCATTATTTCAGTTGATTACTAAGTGTATTATACCAATTTTAATTAAATTATACATATAAAAGTTTACGTGATTAAGAATTTCATATTTTTACATAAGGGCTGGCTCGTCTGACAATCTTCTCGGAGGCATCACGGCATCGAGTCCCGGTGGCTCTAAGGTGTTCCAGCCGACTGGCGGCGCCTTCAAGTCCACCCACGCTGACAATGGTATGCTTATATACATAACTGTATCTGTATACATAGACTGAGAATATATTTGGAAATATATACGTACATGCTTGCATATGTAATTATTTTTACATATTTTTCTACACTATAAATATGAAGCGCACAAGGGATGTTTATATATTTAAAATATTCACGCTATTTTCCCAATGCAGTAATGTACTTTGTTTGCTCCAATTCAAATATAGAATAGTTTTTTATACTGATAAGAAAAGGATACTAGTAGGTAGTCCAATAGGGACCAATATAATGCCAGGTGAACTGGTAGAACTATAGATGGCATATATTGTGATTATAGTAACGATGGAAATTAGCCACAAGTACTCCATTGTGGTAGCGGATAACGCAGATGATAGGGGGGGGGGGAAGGAAGGCACTGTTAGTAATAGGGTTTAACAGCTCCATTGCTAAAAATATACCCTATCAGGTCGACCTCCACGTGGTATCCTTGGAAACCATAGGAGCTAATTCTTGTCGAATTCGTCACGATGGGCTAACTGACCTGCCCTTATCCTCACCTATCATCCCTTACTGGTGCCCCGCCAGAGTACACATATAGCGTAGGCAGGGTTACCAGTCCATTATCATCCATTAAAAAAAACACACAATAGACGCTGCAATAGCTTGCTAAGAAATCAATTATATTTATTTTTGCTTTTTGAATCAACTTGTTTGGTATTATGTAGTAGTTAGAAAAATATTTTGTTATTGATTTGTATTCCACGGCCTCTCTTGTAATCTTATTTTTTGTTTATCACGTACCAATTTTTTATGACTGATATATTAGTGAAAGTACTATATTATCAATGTAGATAATTTTTATACATTCTCTATGTACGTCATGTCATTCTGAGATAAACTGCGATAAATAATATTTGCATATGGATTATACATACAAATTGGAATTGTTTATAATAGATAATATTGAAATATTTCACAATAAAATCTAAAAAAACCTATGAATGTTTGTAATAGTGTTTTTTTTATTGTTATTATTGTGATTAAAAATATCTTTCACAATGCAGACTTGTGAAAGATATTTTTAAAATATGTAGAAGAGTTATGTATATTGAACACGTTCAGTACTTTATGACTATGCTTTTCTGGAATTTGCAATAAAATTCATTCATTCATTCATGGAATTCTAAGTTTCAATCTTAGAAAGTCTTTTATATTTTTATTATTGGTCATTATTAAATTATTATGGGATCTGGGTATTGTCCCTTTTTTTTATTGTTAGAGCACAGGGAAATATACTTTAAGAAAAGATGTGTATTATGGCACTACAAATGTATGTTACGGCATGAGTACCGTAACATACGCGCAGCTCTAAACATACTAATATAATTTTTTGTCTTTTACTTCGTACGTGTGGATTTTAAAAATACGAAAAACAAATAAATCAGTTCTAGATAGCATTACAAGATAAAACATACATAATTTTTTAAGTTAAACTATTGTGAAAAATCGTGCACTAGTTTTAGCGTAATACTGGAATAAATAAACACAATTTCAAAAAATATTGTTTTGTTTCGACTGCTTTTATTAATTGCTTAGCTATAATTTCATTATATTAGTAAGATTGTTTTATGTTTAACCGCAGGTGAAAACCATAGACAATGGACGGCGTTCACAACAGTAAACAAAACAAGTTTACCGAGTCAAGTGCCGAGTTCGCCGCACCCCTCACAATCGATCGCGGCCAGCACTCAGAGTTTAACGAATAGCGTCCAAGGGATATCTCTTAGCACTCCTAATCTAGCTACTCAAGCGGCTTTAGACAACGCTATAGCGTCGATAATGAACTCCCCGACTTCGTCTAGTGGTGTGCAAGTTATATCGAGTGGAGTGTCGATACCGAGTCAATCGATCGCTCAGACGCCGACGTCGACCGCCTTGAGCAACGCTTTGTTGAAGAGTGTTACGTTGGTGAAGAGGAATCTTGGCGATAACGCCACAGGTAGAGATTTATTCTATTTACAAAGTTGATATTTATCTATATTATAATTTATTTTTTGTTGATATATATTATAATTTATGTGTTACTCTATAATATTTAGTAATAATAATATTATTCGCCATGTGGTTGTCGTAAGAGACGACTAAGAAGTTGAGGAACTAAAAGGTTGAGGGATGGGCAGCAGTGTTCTAACTGCGGTTGCCAAGTCACCTGTCAAGTGTGGCAACTACTAGCAAACCTCCCCTTATGGAGGAGGCTTATGTTCAGCAATGGAATATTAACGGCTGATACAATTATAATATTAATATTGTTTGTGTTGAAACTTTATGGTTTGTTAACGTCGTTTGCCGAACGCTGATAGAAAATAGTCAATTATGTATGTGGCAAAGTAAGATATCTGTAGGAATGTAGATAGTATAATGGGTATGGAAAGAATGAGAGAAAGAATGCGTACCTGCTCATACATAACACTTTCTCCCCTCCAAACAACGTTAATACTGTATAGTTCTTTAATGAATGACGTTAAAATGATAGTCTCGACAATACTAATAGGTAACAATAGTAGGGTGTCACTGAATGGTAAGGACGCAATCTAGTTAGTTAGCCCATCATGACAAATACACTAGTTTCTTGGAGGTCAGTTCTAATTAAATATACCAATAAAAAAAAGGGCATTTAATTCTTCAAAAACATTTCAATATAAGATTGGTATCGCCTAGTAAGCACCGCGATGCCTGTTTTCTGTGCTACTGTTTTTCCATAACCAATAGGGCTACTAGATTCTAATTCCAACAATCCTGCCTATCCAGGCATATAGTGTTCTCACAATCGCAATTATATCACGCAGGCCCACTAACACTATCGTTGGACGCGTCCGGGAACCTGCTGATAAAAGCGAGCCAGGCCAGCGAGCCACCCGTCACGGTCGCCGCCGAGCCGCAGCAGTTGCACTACGTACAGCTACAGCGCGTGTTCGTGCCTGCGTACAGCGCTGCCGCTGGTCAGTACACCATACTGAGCTGTTTATTTCTTCCCTTATTTATTGTAGTGAATAATTTTTTCTTATGCGCTAAATTCTAAACTTAAAAGAAATGTGACAAAATATTCTAATATTTATAGATATTATAAGAAAAACGTACCATGTGTGCCCTGGCATTGTAATGGACCATCCCTTTCTTTTCCGTGCGTGTCGTTAAAGGCGTCTAAGGGAAGGCGGAGGATGGGCAGCAGAGTCCTTCTTAAAACATCTCTAAAGCCTGACTATGTCTATGGATAGTCAACGGCTGAAATAATAATATAATAAAATAAGAAAAATACTTGTACTCTTTTACAAAAAGTTTTTATAATAAATACTTGACCTCTTTTATCATTTAGGGCACTATCAAAGGTTAATTTTACACTAGTTTTATCCCGTGTAATCAATTGAAGGTTTTGTTATGAAATGTCCTTCAATGCTAAATACCATTGTTTATATATTGTTTAACACTCAGTATTATGTTACGATTCCGTTTTTACTCTGTAAATTAAAATACGTAAAAGATTTTTCTAACAAAGCATAGGAAACATAAAATTGTGTCTTTGAATTAAAACACTCTCCATTTAACTAATTTACGCATGTTTTTGATTTTGATTTATGAAATAATGAAATAATTTGTGTAAAAATATTTGAAATTTATTACAGAGATAGACGCGAACAAGACCCACAATAGCCAAACTGCTCAAAGCGCGCAATCTGTGATAGTATCGCAAAGTAACAATCACACCGTGCCTAAGACGACCACGTAAGTTAACATCATAATGTTTACAGTTAGCTCTGGCTGCTCCTGGCTGGAATATAAGGGAAAAAGAAAAAAAAATTTTTTTTTTATAGTTTTTATATAAAGCGGCCAGATACAATTATTCGATAATAGTAAAGTTGAGTAATATACAATAGTTAGAAATAACTGCAAATAGTACAAAAATAAAAAACAGTGCTAACCTTCGCCTATAGACATAAACAGCGTTGCTATTACTAAGGACTACGATGATAACATCGCCTTCGTACTATGTAATTTTACTGTCACATTCCACTTTTTAAATCGAAACATAGCCAAGCAGTTTAGCGGCAAAATACTCAGTGGGATAGAGGTACAAGCATACGACATGTACAAGTTTCTTTCTTGTAATAAATTTAGTTTTAATTATAGTCCTCGTAGATGAAAAATATAATTTTATTTTTGCATAAAATTATCATTAGTAAAAGTTGGTGTTAGAGTATTGACTCGAGATATACATAGTATAAAGCAAGGAACTGTGGACAGGCAATGGGAGACTCAGGAAGAGGAGACGCGGCCATTCCCGCTAGCACCGACGCCAGCGCAGCTTGGACGCGCACCGCTACAGAAACGACTTAGCAGAGGTATAATATACCTATATAGACTTTACATTAGTAAACTCGGGCAAATCTAAGGATAAATAGAATACTATTTATCCTTAGATTTGCCCGAGTAGTCAGACTCCATACTTATGACTGAAAAATAAAGAATGAGTGAATGAATGAGTATACTTTATTTGCATTATACAATAAGGAAGTTAGAAAAAAGGATGTATTCGGATCAAATGTTATTAATTGAATTCCTGATATAGTTTTGTATTAATCCATTTTTGTATAGTTGTTGTTTCAAACATTTTTTACGCGACTGCCCAGAAAAATGAGTGTAATGTTTTCAGTGTTTTAGTATATGTGAGTTCTTTTATTCCACCATAATTTTTAAATGTCTGAACCGATTTGGATGTACCCCATAGGGTATCGTTAGAATTCTTCCATCATCCCCAGTAACACGGGCTTTAAACTTTTCGAGAATAGTTCTTTGGCATGTCAGTTGGATTTTATTTACTTTGTCGCTTTTTACAATCGGGTATATATATATATTTTCGATGTACAGGTACGTCGACTGGATCGACTGGCAGCAACGAGCCGACCGTGCCGCGCACCGAGAGCGGCCCGACCACGCCGCTAGACGCGCCCGAGCCGCAGTCGCCGAAGCACACTGATAACCTGCCCAGTCCTTCCCTCAAAAAGAGCCTCTTCAAGAAGGGGAATGAGGACGGACGTGATAAGTAAGTATTGCCATAACAACTGTCTGCTTGTATGAATCTGCTGATTTTCACCATCGTACTACCTGCCATAAACTAAAATTTCATCCCAACCATCTGGACGAGTGGCGGTCTTCCACCGTGCGTTTTTCAAGGCACTTTCTTCCACGCACAACCACTCTTTGGAATCAACTTCCAGCAGCAGTATTTTCGAACCGATACGACAACATAACCTTCAAGAGCATATTCCATTTTAAAAGGCCGGCAGCACACCTGCAATGCCTTTGGTGTTGTGGGTGATCATGGGCGGCGGTAGTCACTTACCACCAGGTGAGCCGCATGCTCGTTTGCCGCCTGTGTTGTAAAAAAAAATTAACGGTCTACGTGTACTTGCGTACATTCAATAGAATTTAATGAAAAGTAACTAAGTTTTGTTGAAATTATCATTGACACGTTCTCCATTTTAAATTAATTGCCGTATGATCCCGGCATAAAATAGGCCTCCCTTTTCTTTCCCGTGGGTGTCGTAAGGAGTGACTAAGTGAGGGCGAGGGATGGGCAGAAGTGTTCCTCTTAAAAAATCTCCAAAGCCTAACTGCGGTTGCCAATACGTTTGTCAAGCATGGCAACTTCAGGCAAAACCCATTAAGGTAGAAGCTTATGTTCAGCAGTGAATAGTTTAGGGCTGATATGATAATGATGACGTTCTTAAATTAAAATATTTAATCTTTTATTGATTTCTAATTACTATTAGGCGTCATCAGACTCGCAAGCTCGGATTAATTACACGTTTGTTTACTTTTTTTCTTTACTTCTGTTAAAACAGATCAATATGTTTAAATATATTTATGTTTTGCAGAGTTCTAGAGACGGTGAATTTCGAACAGAAGTTCAGTACTCTTCCGCAGTTTAAACCGGAGGCGTGCAGCCCCAGCGCGATGGTGGTGCCCCGGAGTCCGCAGTTGTATTTGAGAAAAAAGCATAATAAGATCGGGATGGGTAAGTACTTTTGTTAAAGTATCAAAATTAAGAATAACTTTATTTCATTGAACAAGATTAGCCTATGATACAACATAGTTTCATAACTATGTGGGGACATCCCCACACTAGACATAGCCAGTCTCATTTAATAAATTATTTTATTTTAATTTGTGATAGTATTTATTTCTTGATGTAATTTTTTTTACATAAATTGTTATACTTAAATTTCGTTAGCACTTCGTTGCTTCTAATATCTTTTACAATGGACATGTACATTTTTGATTGCTTATATAATTTTAAGTTATACAGAATTAGTTGTAAGTGGTATACTATGTTAATATCAAATAATAATTTTAATGAACTGACTGTGTAGTTTGGAAGGAGGTAAAATTATTTATAGTTTAAATTTAGTTATTTTGGGGAAAGTTGTTCAATTTTATGAATACTATTATTAGATTAGGTTTAGGCAATATAATACAATGAATAAATATAATATAATTATAATATAATATAAATATAATATAATATTATTGCAGACGAAGAGGGCACTGTGGTGACTGCACAGCTAGAATCAGAGGTGATAAACGGCAACGGAATGCCGACCCCCCACTCGTACGGCACCCCCCACACTACCACTAAGCTGGTGGGGAACACGTTCTTTGGCCCGGATTTCAATCTCGACTCGTATAGAGGTGAGTATCGCATAGTACTTCTCTAGTGAATTTTGATAAAATTTATTGATATAAACTTTACTGGTATTTTTTTATGTAACTTGGAATGGTAAACAATTTGACGGCTTACATGACGAAAAGAGATGACCATCGCCTATAGATATGACCAGTTGAATGGTTATTACGATATTATTTAAAATATATTTAGTTGTTATTGTTTTAATTTTTGTAGAGGTTCAGATAAATAATATCAATTCAGAACACCACACTTAAGTTAATTTAGAAAAGTTTGTTTCGTAGATTAATTTAAACTTAGGACATGGTTTACGCAAACTGCGTATCTACTAGAAGTACTTAAAAAATTACTCAATATGACATAAAACCTGAGATGCACACTGTGCACCAGTAACAGAAAATAATTTTTATATTTTTCTCTAAATTTATATTTCATAAGGAAAAATTTTTAAATTTTAAAATGTCGCGTTTGAAATTCAAATATTTTAAATTTTTTCTATACTACTATGAGGGCAAATAAGCATATGGCTCATTTGATGGTAAACGAGGGTATCTGATAGGTCTATGAAACATCTCATCACTAATCGGCGTATGTGTATTTACAGTTGAGGTAGCATATTTTTTTTTTATACAACTTAGAATGGCAAACAAGCTGACGGCCCACCTGATGGAAAGTGGTAACCGTCTCCTATAGACATGAGCGGTACCATGGACAATATAACAGAAAATATACTGTTTCGCCCATGATACCCCCCATGCGTTGCCATTCCTGAGGACTCAGATGTTATTCCTCTGTACCCTGTAAATTCACGCCATATCCCACGCTTCAAACCGAAACACAGCCATGCAAACACACCTGCTTCACGGTAGAAATACGAATGGGACAGAGGTATCTAAGCAATCGACTTATGTACTAACGTACTAATGAGTCCTGTTCCCGTCAGCCTCGGAGAGTATGGAGGAGATGTCGCCGCGGACGCCGTGCTCGGGCAGCGCGGGCGCGGGGGGCGGCGCGGGGGCCGCGGGGGGCGGCGCGCGCGGCGAGGCGGGCCACCGCCGCGTGCTCGAGCAGCGCCGCCAGCTCGTGCTCAAGCTGTTCCAGGACCACGGCATGTTCCCCTCCACGCAGGCCACCACGCAGTTCCAGGTCGCTCCCAACTACAACTTGTTCACTTCTCTTGTTATTGTGCGCTCGTTGCGTACTAAGCTAAGCTAAGCAATATTGAAACAGAGATATTTCAATTTTAACCCTTTTAGTGCCATTGATTTTTACTCATATCTACTTAAAAATGCCAAAGAAATATTTGTCGTGTTGGTGTCATTGACCCTTGTCTCTTAAAAAAACTGTATTTCCTCCAAAAATTATCCAATTTTAATATTCTTTTTGTATAGCAAGCTAAACAGCGACTGATTTGACGAGCGCTATTACGCTCGTGGCATTTTTAGTTGCAATGCGTACGAGCGCGATGGCACTCGTCGGCAATCAAAGGGTTAAATTCTACAGTTGTCTATGTATATATGTAGTATGTTGAATTTTGAAGTTGATTATTTCAGCTTCAATTTTATGTAGAGAAAAAAATATAAATCATAAATGCTTACCTAAAATAATATCACAAAGTAGCAATGAATAATTAGTGAATGCTACAAAAAAAATTTTGCTGCTTGTTGTAAACAATTTCAATCTTAAATTATAAAACAAGTAAATAGGATCGAATTCTGAATGTAGGTTAAAATATTTGCAAGTACAGTTCCATATTTTACATTTTTTTTATTATTTATTTATTAATATTTTAGGCGACGTATATGGATATATTCCCTACAAAAATGTCCTTGCAACTGAAGATTCGCGAGGTGCGACAGAAGTTGATGGCGCAGTTGAATCTCACGCCACACTCCGAAGTCAACACGCCTACAAGTAAGATTTCAAATAATTCTACTACCTATTATTATAAACAAAAGTTGATGAGGTCAGCTCAGGGCCATAACAAGACCCAAGATAGATCTAAGATAGGGAAAAATAACTTCTTGGTAGGGCAGAAGTCATAATTGACTGCGAAGAAGCGAATCTATCCAATTTTCTTGGTACTTTTCATTTTAAGGTTGAGCATTGCCCCTCAATAACCATTCCCCCCACTAGACACGGCCATGAGTCGGATATATATATTCGGCATGAAGTGCGATATGGGCTACTCCTGATTAATTAATATATTTCTATCACGTGAAGTCTAGTACAAGTAAATGAAGTCTAAATATATGATTGGTAGTAACTTTTTGTGAGGTTTATTTAATATATTCTCTTATTTTCAGATGTGAACTCCCCGATAGTGACGTCGACTGCTAGTTAGCGATGCGGATACACCATCTCCATTGTGGTGCAAGAGTAACGTTTTCACATGTTTAGCTGTTCACGTGTTGGATAATAATTATAAATTGTTTTATTTTTTCCCGAAATTTTGTTTGTATCAAGGTGCTATTACAGACAGACATTATTATTGGCTTTATCGAAAATAGAATTAATTCAAGTTCAGTTACAATTTACAAAGAATATTGTTTTAAACTTATATCGCAGTGGTTTACAATTTTACGCATTTCATAAACGAGATGTTTCGTGATCATATCTTTATGTATTCTGAATCATTTGGCGCTATCACCAGCCGACATGTGATCAGGATGCTTGTAAAAGCATTGAAACATTGTGATCTCACTAAGATCTCGTTCATAAAATGTGTGAAGTTATAAATAACAATTTAAATTACCATTCAAAATGTTGACATCCTGTCAATGTTTTTATGTCACATGGCATGTAGACAGAGAAAATCTTCAATTATGTAATTTATTTGATCCATAATTATATGTTAAATTTTAGAAACGAAATATAAAAGTGCAGTCTGTATGTGCAGACTCCACTTGAATATATTTGAATACTATTTTATATTGAAAGAATTGTTCGAAATCCTTTAACAGCTTTATGGCGTAGTCCTTTTAAGAGCTAGTATGTACGGGTGGTATTTGCCACAAATGAAATTGTCATGTGGTAATATGCGCGTATTTTCATCGTTACCATGGACTTTGTAAAATTAGGTGGACTTAATGCCAACAAAGTTAATAAAGTAATAACATACGAGAACTTTAAAGTGCAATGAACAATATATATATATATATGTATATATATATAAATATTACCCGTAAGTTCTAGCTCTTAGATAGCAGTATTATTATATGACTTGTTACATAAAGCTTATCAACGTTCGCAGTTTATATGTCTGTCTGTCTGCACAGGTTATACCATAATTTCTGAATAGTTTCCATAGCGATATTTGTTTCAGCGATTTTATTATTAAGTTTTGTAACCCCATAAACACGCTATATTCTATTATAAATGTAACGAGATTGATTTACGTGTAATTGTAGAAAGTTGGACTTGTTAACTTTCGAGATCTTTACTAACGCTGGCCAATTTGTGCTTCTCTAATTATAGAGCTTATGTTTTGATTTTACATTGATTGACGATGATATGATTATTTTTCATTGCAGATAAGTAACACTTAATTTTTTTTGTTATGCAACTTTGAATGGCAAACAAGCTGATGATCCTATAATAAACATACGTAAATGAATTTGTTAAATTTATAATCATAATTTAGTTGAGCATAGACAAAAGAATGAGTGAACGATAACGATGTTTTGTTTGTTGTTTTTGGTTGTTATTAATTGAAACATTGGAATTAAGGTTACCGCACTATCAACGGCTAAATTTGTGAGAAAACATTTTGCATGTATTCAATGAAATCCAATGGAGTTGTATGAGTATGTAGGTACGATTTGTTTTTGTTTTGGGTCGGTTTTGTTAGACATGTTTGAGTAAGTTATGTAAACATGTACTGCATTGTTCTGTGTAATTAGACCCATTGTGCATTTAAAAAGTACGTTAACGTGATTATTATATCATAATCGTTTTTAATAAGAAAAAATAACAAAAAAAAAAATGTTTAAAACGATTGATATACGATTAGTTATGGTGCGTGTGTACGCGGTTCATGTAAATTTCAACAATGTAGGTTATAATTGCCAAATGAGTTATTAACAAAACGGATTTATTATTTTATATAATTTATATATAAATCGCTACTACAAAATTTAAACGATATAAAAGTAGGTTGACTTGGCTTGGCTGTGGTCAAAGTGGACTCTTAAACTCAACACTCTATTTATTCCTTATTTATTCATATTAATTTAGCTTTTTTTAACAATACGCCAGTTTTTTTTTTAATATATTAAGTTTATTATTCCATAACCACGTTTTGTTCGAAGTTGAGAAGGTTACTGCTAAAAGAATGGTAGTGTTGCCATTTGCCTTTAATCATGCTTTTTAATCCATGGCAGCACGTACTGATAAACACAATAATATATGTAATATTACTTAATATGTTCATTTTACATTTTAACGCCATATCAAGGTAATTTACGATTCGAGAGTTAAAAGAAAAAATATGAAAAAAAAAATGTATCATTCAAATTGTATTACTCGTAGCTATATTACACATATTCACTCGTGCATAACATTATCCCACTTTGTGAGATTCAAATCTTTACCAGACGTGAGGATATTATCCATTATGCTTTTATACATTATGTTTATTGATCATCACATCATCATTGTGTTTATTTCATCATATTAGAGCACTTGATTCACATGGGCACGATCTCAATACATTTATTTGTATAATCTTTATATAAGTCCTTTGGTTGATGTGAATGTATATTAAGGTTGTATATTGTTGCAATATTTACTTTATAACGTGTACGTCCATACTTACGAGCGTAAGTAATATTTTATTTACATTATTAAATTAGTTGCTTGCCTTAGCTGTTACATTACGGGGCATTGCAATTACATCATATAACCTTGTTAGTGTGATTGTAATATGTGAGATTTATAAAGGTGCAAACAAATAGGATCGCGGTAAATATTTCTCTAACAAATTTATTTTCATAATTCCTTAAGAAACTGCATTTATATTAAAAAATGCATACATAACGTATTGCAATTTTTATAAAGAAACGAAACCCCTTAAATAATGAATATAACACGCATATAAAAGACGCTATGTAATTATCGCGTCCACATTTCAATGCGTAGATATAATTTGCATTCACGTAAGATATAGAACGATGAGACGACGAAATATTTTGGTGCGTACATTATTATTTAAGATTATTTTGTATCGTTTTCTATTTATGTTGTGATGTTGGTCTTCCACGTGATTAAAATTTTCATTTTTTTATTAGATAAATATCTACTTATTTAATTATTTCTATGTACAGTGATTTACTTTAAGTAATGTGGAGTGATTTTTGAATTAATTTTGGATGCCATGTTTGATAGAATAAGATATCGGAGTACCACAGATTATAGAAATTTTAAATGATAATAGCATCTTTCTAAAGTCGATATCTTGGTACTAGTTTTCTATCCGTATGTGACGTAGTAATCATTCGATACATAACGACATTGTTATAAAACAGCTCAAATCATTATCGACACTAGATAAATCAATATTTATACATAATAATAATCTCATTGTAAATATTAGATTTACTTTATGCTAGTGCTAAGAGTTCCCGGCTCTCAAAGTAATTAAGTTTTTATTTAGATAATACTATTAATAAAAAAAATGGTTATATATAATAATTTATACTTAAAAGGTTCGGCCAATACAAATGTTATGTATATCAAAATTGTATTTTTTAAATGATCTCTTCGGCGTTAATAGTATTTAGATAATTGCTTTAGGAGTCCGGAAGTGAAATGAATTTATTAAAAGTATAAATGTAAGAGATATTTTCGCACTGTTGAATATATTCTTGATAGTCGCGTAGTTGATTTGTCACCGAGTCTGGGACCGTCTATTTGTGTCTTTACTCGGACATTAGTTTGCCTTTGAAATGGTTACAAAATGACCTTCGTCGTCTTGAGACTCTGTGCCCAATCTCCGCGTAGTCAATTTTGTCCATAATATCATAATTATTATCATCATACATACATAGAGCTGTTGTTACCAGTTAGTCATAACGTAAACAGGTCTCACACGTAATAACCTAACTTGATATTTTTCTGTAACATGCAAATAATGTGGAGAAAGTAAATTTCTGACCTATTATTACAGAAGACTATCCGTTTAGCACAGTGCATCTATCAAATCTCAGTTACATATCTAATTTTCAATTATTCTATGTGTATTTCAAATTTGAAAAAGAATTGCTCCTACATTCTAGATCCAATGCACGACTATAGATTTTCATATCCAAACAATAGGAATTTATTTAAATATTGTCTACCTTTAGAGACGTGCGGACTATATTCTTAGCACGTATCCGCATTTTTACAAGTACTAGTGACTTTATTACCATCAGGGATTTATCCATTTGAAACGTAATTTAATCAGTTTTATTCGCAGTTAATTTTATCGTTGTTAACTTTGATGATTTGACAGTTATTTAATGTTTTAATGAAATAATATTAACAATCTAATCTCCACGCTAGAATTGACTTTGCACTTTAAGTCTTATAATTTACTCATTAAAGGTTTTGTTGCAATATCACCTAATGTAGCCCTTAAACGTTTTATTTCATTATATACGATTGCAGTGGTTTGTACAGAATGTTTCCATTTGTTTTAATACTGTCCAGTTCTTTGTTTGTTGCTTGTTGAATCATAACAGTTGGAGATATGTTGGTTTTAGAGTGAATGTCTTTTCAGTGTGTTATAGTAATAACAAATATGAAACAAACCTTAATGAAAATAATAAGCTGCATATTACTAGTGCCTTATTGACTTTCAAAACTTAGTGTTTGCTGTTAGAAATAAGAAATTATTCTTTTATACATGTCTCATTTCATTTGCTCTCATTATTTCCGTTACTAGGCGTTGTCAGTCAATAAACAATGGATAATAGGCAGTTTGTTTTATTAGACTGAATTAAATATGTTGCATATAACAAGTTATAATGTTATATATATTAAGAAATATTAGCGAAATAGTGATTACTTCAAAAGGACATTTTAAATAAAGCATTTCATATTCGTTATTTATTTCTTCTATATAAGGCATTAGTCTAATTGTTTAGTCAAAATGGCGTAACTGTAAATATCTTGTTTAGAAGTTTTATTTAGGTTTAAGTGTTCAATTTAATGTATATTAGATTGAATTAGACAAAAGAATCATCAGAGAAAAAAATGGTAATCACGTTTACATAAGTGAGTTTTTTAAATTGTTTATGAATCCAACTAATGGACCAAATAAATGGCACTTTTAACTTAGACATTGTAATCGACAAAACTAAAACAGACATTGTGAGCAGGTATCAGTACTGTAAACCAACCCATAGCATTGTGGACAGTTTGTTCAAGCATATTGGATCATTGTATGAACTTATGTTAAAACATAAAAACCACGAAAACAACCTTGTATTTTATTTCATATCCTGTCTAATAAAATAAGTGCCCTGGGGTAAATCTAAAGAAATCTTGATGATACATTAACACAATTAAATGAATATTCATAATTCTTATATAAGCACATACAGTGTTTATTTCAACAAGTATCATAAAAGATTTAGCTACTTAATCATGTAACATTTTTAGATTCAAAGTAAAGATTGCATAGAAATTATTTTGGTTCAGAGTGATGTAGGGATTGGTATAAGAAAAAGAATTGAAACAATAAACATGTATTTGAAACAAAGTCATTTAAAAAAAAAAACTAACTTCTGTAAGTTCATAAATGCATGGTTTTTAACAATTATAAATACAGTATAATTGAAATTAAAACATTTGAATTTTATTTAGAAGTCTATAGATTTAAAATATTAAAAATTTCATGTATTTTTAATTTGAAAATACAAAAAAAAATTAAAATTATTTACTTATATTATCATCAATATTTTCTACTGCTTTAATTAACAACTGAGGATTTTCTTGTTCCAACATAGACAATGCAGCTTGTAATTCTACATTATCACCAGGATCAGTAATAATTAAAATTTTTAGAGTTTTCATTCTTGCTAAACTAAATACACAACCAACACATATATTACACCCACTGATGTCCAAATATTCCAAGCTTTTTCCATTTTGTCCGGCTATTCTATCTATGCACCAAACATCAACATGTCTATTATTTTTCAAAGATAGCCACTTGAGAAAATTTAAACCATACAGGTTTTCCAAACCTTCAAAACGAATACCATTGTGGTGAAATTCACTACAATCAATAGCCTCTACATAATAGCCATCACTGTAGTTACTGGGAAGATTGAGTGTAGTTATATCTCCAAATATCCATTCACTCGAACCTCTTAACCTGCAATAAAAGAAAACAATTATCACATTTTCTGTATCAAAATTATTCTTTTCTTGATTCATTTACAATTGTGCTATTACAGAAAGTATTAGTATCAGTATTGAATCTGCACTGATAAGATTTTTATTTGCGAACTTGAACAGATTCATATTGTTTGTGTATTTTATTTTAATAAAAAATAATTATTACAGGATTGTGTCTAGTTTGTGAAGAGCCAAACACACTTGATATTTACCCGATTGACTAGACTATCAATATTAAAAATTTATTTATAATTAAAACAATACATTATTATATACTATCTTTATGATTTAGTAGATAAGCAATCTTTCTTAAAACTAGTGATAGTATATGTCAAAATCCTGTGATCATATTGTCATGGGCCCCAAAGATAGAAATATGATGAGTCTAGCATTTAACAATTGCCTCTTATAAGATCTTTTTTATATTAACTACTTTAAACTTAGTTCAATGACTTACCTGACTTTAGCTTGTCGAAAGGTAAAAAAATGTACAGCGGCCAAATTAGAACCAAGTGTAGCAACTCTTTCAGGTAAAAATTTTTGATTTTGTTTTTCCTGAATTACTTTCATGTCACTCCACCAGGCTTTTATTTTATCGAACGTTAAATTTGGTATTTGTGATAAAGCGTACATGATATCCGGACTAGGGTTCTTTTCAACAAAAACTGAGAGCTTGCTAGACCATTCACCATCTCTATGTATCCAAGGTTTACGCCATTCCGGGTACAATTTTCCGTGGACTTCGCGCGGTTTAGGACCTTCTTCGTGTTTTTGATACACAGATTTTTCTTCGGAGTATTTGCGAGAAGTTATGTAAAAGCACCGACTAATTTTGTTGATGTTAGCAGGCCTCATTTTTGATGAAAATGTGTTAAAAATATCAAACTATTTATGATAGTACAAAACAGAAACTATTCATAATGTTTCCGTAATAAAATTGATTCATTAGTTGATTTTTCTGAGTTCTATTTATAATTATAATATTTATATCGTAGAATGAAATTATAAAATTCGGATATTTTAGAAATATAGTGACAAATTGACTTTTTAATTTGACATTGACAACTTTATTGACAATGACATAATTCGACATCCCGTAAAACGAGGTGAAAAGGAACAATTTTTAAGTTTAATTTCTTTTATCTATCTGTACAGCAATATTTGATGATTCGATCCGAAATCAACTATCCGGATTGTCTTCAAAAATTGGTTATTTGTTATTAATTGAATTACCTAATTTCCTTGAAATCTTCAAAAATGTGTTCATTTTGTATATACCCTGAAGTTGGGTGAATATAAAATAATAACAACATACTTATTAGAAAAAATTTCGTTTTGTTTTTCATTTTACAAGTCTGTCTTACTTTAAATATTCGCGTTTTTTCTTAAACTAAGAAATTAAAATTTTAACTTAAGATACTTAGAGAATTTAAGAGAATGGTGTCTTGGAACTTCTTATTTAGGGATTTTAGGACCTAAAAAGAGATAAGTTTATTATATTTTTTATACCATATGATGACAGACTTATAAAAAATTAAACGTGCCCGATACAGTTGCGCTGTTAAAGTTCCCATCGTTGTATTGGTATTATTAGAAAAACATTTATCCAAAAAAAAAAAGCAAAATCCTATCGTCAATTTTCGACTCTCATCCTTGAACTCACTTCACGGTAATGTAATTATAGTAGGGGTTCGCGAATCATACTTTGAAAAATATTTTATAAAGACAGATACCTGTGATATTCATGGTATCTCTCAAATAATAGGGTAGTTTCTGTAAAAGATGGATTGTAATTAATGTTTAGTGATGACTGGAAATTGTTAAATATAGGTGTATAGATAAAATATTAGTTTTCTAGATGAGTGGCCATTAATGAATTGACAATTTTAACATTCCTTCTATGTAATTCCTTGTTCTTAGTTTCAAACTCCATACGTGAATGAATTAAGTACTATATTATCCATTATCTCTGTCTACAGAAGTACCTAATTGGCGCTATAGATAAAAAGACACTTAAACGGTCGCATATTCACATCCAATAGTACTTGTTCTTAGGTATATACCGCAGGTACTATCTTTAATCTGTGCTACATTATGTATTTTTCTTTATAAGTATACATTGCTTTTACTTGTAGGCATCTTCGTTGTAGTAAAATTATGTTGAAAGGATTTAGATACCGACGGTTTCGTCAATCAGAGTCGAAATGACAGCGTACCATCGCTGTTATGTTGCGCCTGGGGAAATACACTAAGTGCTTTCACAGTTTCGTGTATCAAATCCAGTGCTGTGTTCACATCTATCAATGTACTAGTCGAATTGAGATTGATTATCCTATATTTATAAATATTCTATAGATAAAATAGATAAAAGTACATAACGCAACATTAGGAGTTCTCGCCTTTTTAAATTTTTGTGGGTATGCAGTATTATATACTATCTTAATTCCGTGACTTTGCCCACGTGCATCAATATTAGTATATATAAAATATACTCGTATTATGTGTTAAGGTAGGATATAACCTAGATGTGTACCTTTCATTCAAATCCGTTTAGTTGTTTAACCGTGATTGTGTAGTAATAGATTATAATAGTAAGCCAGGATGTAATTTATCCGTGTACTAAATTTCATTCAAATCTGTTCAATAGTTTTTGTGTGAAACAAAAACAAATATCCATGCATACTTCAAAAAGTTTCGTGTTCCACTGATCCACTAACATTTGAATCCACTAACTGTCTGAATGTAAACAGAGCATCAGTGTATGATATCAACTAGGCAAATGGCATGTTTCTGCATATGTAAGTAGCTATGGTTCCCACTAATGCACGATTAGCCTTCGATTGAGATGACTCCCTGGCGGATTTCTCAGCTTGGTTTCTAGCTTCCACGCAATTAATTAACAATTCTGAGTAATTATTAAGTAAGTACTATTTAGGAATTTGGAATTGAATTAATTGTGTAGAGTAATATTACGACTTTACACACATATTTATTTTCGTGAACGTGAATAAAAAGGTCTATTCGTGTAACAAATTTCATTCAAATCCGATCAGTAAAGAGCAACAAGAAAGTAAAATTTTACTAAAGTATATAAACTTCGACCGACGAATCCAACTCGGGTGGCCAGTGTTCGGAAAACTACACCACACCTTTTTAACCAATGTACCTCAAAGTATGAAGACGAAATCTTTAACTAGTGAGTGTTGCCAGTGATGATTTATGGAACCGAAACATGGTCCTACATGGTTGCCCGTATGCAAAAGATTAAAATTGCTCAACGAGCTATGGAGAGGGCAGTGCTCAGAATTTTTTTACGTGATAGAATCAGAAATGAGGATATCCGCAAAATAACCAAAGTAACTGTTGTAGCCCGAAGGATAAGCAAGCTGAAGTGACAATGGGCTGGCCATAAAGCTGGAAGAAACGACAACCGATGGGGAAGAAAGGTTCTTGACTGGTGACCCCGTACGGGTAAATTCAGAATAGGACTACTCCCTACTAGATGCAGTAACGACCTCAAAAGCGTTGTTAGGAGTCAGTGGATGCAGGTGCCTCAGGACCATTCCTAATAGCAGTTTGTCTCTTCCACAGATTATGTTCAGCAGTGGACATGTAATGGCTGAGATTATGATGATATAAATGTGAGAGATTTTTAATACATAGTAGATGTTTGTTCTTTTATGGACGATAAAGGAATGGTCACTCCGCTTATGATATTGTAGGGTATCAGTGAGAGGTAATAAGTGAGGATGAAGTCCGTTAGGAATTATCCACGATGATTTGGGACCAACCAGAGAGGATATATTGCTAATGGGTTTGTTAGATCCTATTGCTGACAATTCTTTTCACTTCGGGATAGTAAGATTTTCATGAGATAAAAATGGAGTAGTCTTCACGCTCGTGCTACGATACGTGCAGGATATCAGTGAGAGATGATATGTGAAGTCGGGTCTGGTCAGTTGGCCCAACGAGACAAATTCACTACGATGATTTCTTAGGCACACGTAGGTCGATCTTATTGAGTAAACTGGTAGCAATGGGGTTATTAGACCCTATTACTAACAGTCCTTTTTCCCTTCTGGCAAGGCAGTGTGTTTTTTTTTTAATGGATGATAGTGGAATAGTAACCCCGCCTGCGCTATCGATATACACTAGCGGGGTATCAGTGAGGGATGATCGGTAAGGATGAAAAGATAGCTTGTCATGACGATGGTTTCCAGAGGAAACCGCGTTGAGGTCGACTTGATAGGGGTATATTGATAGGAATGTGAACTAACCTCCCCATTCCTAGCAATCCTTTCTCCACAAGGCAGTATGTTTCACCGTTACACTACGGTCATTAATGTAATATCAAACAAGAAATAATATCTACCTACTTGTATTTCTATTTCGATTATTAGGGATAAGAAAATGAGTAGTTAATCAGGCTTCTGTTGCTAAGGTCCTTTATTAATTCAAGTGCTTGTTGTTTTCGCTTGGCATGTTATTATATTAATTCTATTCTGTAAGGGTATAGTTACGAACGTGTAAAGGACAAACTCTAGTTAGGTCTTTAGGAAAAATATCGTATAAAATAATAATCTGGGTTGCGATTTTCAGTTAACTATTATTACAGGTGATTGTAATAGTATACGTTAGTCTATTTTTTACTGTCTATTCTTACGTACATTACCAATAAATAATAAATTAGTAATTAATATTTCTAGATAGCAACGTCCAGAACTCTAATATATCTACGTCATAGTAGACTAAACTGAACAGGACTGTAACTAAACTAAAAACAAAAAAACTTTATTGAATATTCCCAGAAAGCCCGTTGTTACTTTTATTTCTTTTCAATAAATACTCTTGAGATAAAAAAAAAAACGAGTGTTTTTTTATTATTTACATTTATTTGAGACTCAATCTGGTCTCGTTGGGTCACAGTATAAGTAATATATAACAGTATATAATAATATATAATATTGTAGCACGATATAGTTTAGTATTTTTAAGGTTTAGTTATTGGTGTAAAAATAGAATGGTAACTCGGTCAACGCTATCTGTATACGCTGGCGTGCGTCTTGTGAAAGATGATAGAAAAAATTAAGTCAGGCTAGTTAGAATATAACGAATTCACTAAGAATTACCTACGATGGTTTCCAGGATGGTTTCCATATGGTGGTCGATTTGATACAACACACCCTGTATTGCTAACAATGTGACTGTTTTTTTATGGGTAATATAATAATAATGAAATAGTAACCCCACCCGTGCTATCGGTATACACTGGCGGGGCACCAGTGAAGGATGATAGAGGATGAGCATGAAGCAGATCAGTTAGCTCATCGTGACGAATTCAACAAGAATTGTTCACGATGGTTTCCAGGGGGAACCACGTGGAAGTCGACCTGATATTGCTAGCAATGGGGCAGCCAAACTCCATTGCTAACAATCCCTTTCCCCCCACAATGTGACCGTTAAACCTCATTAATAACAATCTCTTTTTCCCACCTTTTTTAAGTTAGAACTATCATATTACCGTATACTTCTTATTTATATGCTATCACTAATATATGTAGTTCCCAAAAGTAGGCGATCTGGAGGATATTAGGTAGTTCGATCATTAGCGCCTTACTATCTAACTGGACTAACGGAAAAAAGCGTAAAGTTGTTGCATCTCTATGCATCTTTTATCGAATGTATCATAGGGAGTGTTCAAAGGAATTGTTAGATTTGATACCTGGTGGTGAATTTCACCATTATAAAACCCGCCATAAACTAAAGCTCTATCCTAAACATCTGAATGACTAGCGGTCTTCCACCGTGCGTTTTTTAAGCCATTTTCTTTTACGCACAAACATGTATCAGCAGTAGTATCTCCAAACAATACGACACTGAAAACTTTAAGAAAAGTGCATATTCCTTTTGAAAAGCTGGTAGCACATCTACAATTCCTCCGTTGATGTAGACGCTCAAGAGCTGCGGTAGTTTACCATTAGGTGAGTTGCATGCTCGTTTACCTCTTGTGTTAAAAACAGGCCTATTTAGAAATTTATATATACAA